ATCACCTACGTGTTATTTGGAAAAGGTTCACGCAGCAGAGCCCTTCGTATCCCGCAGAAATGAACCATTCCCCATTAGTAGCTTCCTGCCCGCTAAAAGCTCGCATTTTTTGTTCATGCTATGATACCACACTAGGTTCAATAAACAACGCCCCCTCCCCCGGGTATTCGGCAGTGCAATTCTCGAAAAGCCAGAAATTCATGGGATCTTCCGTGGAATTATGCTTGTCCCACCAGATGCACACTACTCCCTTCACAACGCCATAGCAAGTGCTATTGAAATAAACCCCCCCCCCCCCCTCCCCGAGGCACAGGTAATTGGCCCCTTCTGGTACTCTTTGTACTATACTCGTAGCTCTGCGTCCTAACCGACTTTCGCCCTGCATGAACCAAAGCCTTCAATGAACACGTGTCAGTGCAAGCCCCTTAACTGAATGCCGAAAACCTCCAACGCCATCCTTACCCTTATCTATCGCCAAGATAATCTACAAATTGCACTCATTAACCTTAAGGGGGCCCCGGGAGGCCGGTCCATTTAGATGATCGTGATTCGAGATTGTATTTTCGGAACCGCGATTTGAAAGTCCATCAAAATAAGTTTATAAACTGCACCAGGTTGGGTATATCCTCTCATATCGTCTCCCTTCCTGATGCGGTAGCGACAGTGGGACTCGTGGTAAACGTGAATTTGGGGCATTCCACCCTAGAATTATGGTGATTCGCTCCAGGTGACCCCACCCAGATCTACCCCCCCAATAGTAATCCCAAACTATCTCTCATCCCTTCACAGTCCTGTACTTGAGAGAGTAGGCAATTTAGGACTAACTACCGCATACAGTACTCCCCCAAAGTCCACTCTGACCCCAACCACCCCCTCCGACAACCGCCTCTTCCCCAAATAACCCTAATTTTTTGACGCTACCGAAGAGAACTCCCATCTATGATCAGCTTACCGTTTCCACCCTTTCTGCGTGTATATAAGACAGAGTAATGTTTTGCCAGTGGGACGAGAATCTCTGAACCCCCGGGCCGCGCTTCTCTTGGCGACGGGGGTCATTCCTCAAGCGGGAGGGAAGTGCTTTCTAGCCAAGTAAGATAGTGGACAAGGTAAGCTTCGTAATTTCCCGGGAGTGTCGAGGGTATCGCTGGTTTGTAGGGTGCTTGGGTGCTGTAGGAGAGTGTGAAGAGGCTGTGTTCTCTTGCATTAGGGAAGAATTCTGGAGAGTGCGAGAGTAGAAGGGGGACCGGAACGGCTACCTCGTCTGAGAGCTGGCTATAACGGAAACGGCATTGGTAGAGAGTAAACGTATGGATCCTACGCAACCATGTCATGTCCGTGCTTCCTACACCCAGGTACCAGCTCTTTTCCTACAGAGAGAGTAGACGGAGAATGCAAGACCCGTTAACGCGTTAAGTAAATCATGGTTTGCCTTTCCCCTCACCATCGATGTCGTTGAACACACCGGATAAACCTTTGGCAGCGCCCACCCCCCGACATAATGTATCAGTCTCCTCAATACCATTAATCAGTATAGGTACAGAGTTTGAGCTCCAGAAACTATCCCTCGCGATTTTGTACAACCCAATCGCGACCCTAAGCGTTTCCTCAAACGACCGAGATCCATCCTGGGGAAAAATGTAGGATATGTGGACTTCTTCTGCCTCCACCGCGGCGCGAAATTGAGTGACTTCCCCCCTGGTCTTTCGGATGGCAAGACGGGCGATCTGGAAGGGGCGCGGGGTGACCGGAGGTACCAGTGATGCAGTACCGTATTCACTCCTTCGATTCGTTAGCTCCGTCCACTCAGGAATATCCCTGGTACCGTACATTGCGAAAATAGCCCAAATAGGTTTGGTATTGCAAGCAAATGACTCCAGCTATACTGTTTCCGAAAAGTAGTAATCCTTCTTAAGAACTTTTGTCTCTAAATCCGGAGATTAGTGACCTACGGAGATAGCGAATGGACCAAATAAATACTGTATTTTATTCATACCGATTTCACAGGATGAAGGAGATGGGCAGAAATGCTGATCGAGCTATGGCGCGTACGGTACATTCGTTCAAAAACATGAGAATTTCCATGCCCTTTACTAATATCCGCAGCGGGGGGGGGGTGAATGAACGGTTCGTTGCAGATAAACAAACTCTAACATACCTCGCCGGAATGTAGGGGTGTCTGGGATAGGGTACCTCACCGGCCTCTTCGCAATAGGGAAATGGCCTTTGGTGGTCTATTTGAAACCATATTGGCTTATAGCCATTCGCTGTGGGATGGTTTTTAATGATAATTATAGCGCAGAGTTTCGGGGTGAGATTCTAGTTCCAAAATTCGTAGTGCGTCGTAGGGTGCTTCCGACTCCTTTATTTTCCTTTAACGGGGTAAGCAGGTGGAATACCGAGGTGGGAGAGCCGAACAGAACAAGGGAGAAATTTCCGGCTCAACAAAACAGAGGAACCGAGTGAGAGACTGTGATTCGCCTGGTTTCCTCTCAAGACCTCGCGCCCCGTGTCACCTCCGTCCCATGTTCTCCCTCCACTTCTACATACCGCATACCTCGCTCCCCATTCCCCCACCATTTCTCCCTCACTCTTTCACGCTCTTCATCTTCCGACTAGTCCTTATTTCAGAGTCCGCTTACAAACTTCTACCACCCTCCTCAGGTTTCGCCATTTCGCCATAAGTTTTTTTAAGGTTGGTTATCGCCTTCTCTTGATTCCCTTTATCCTATCTCCTTAACCTGGAAACAAATTCTCCCGGTTTTTTGTTTTCTTGGCACGCTACACCATACTTTACCCCGCGACCCCTCACATTACAAGCCCCCCTTAAATTCTCCTCTCATTCTCCATCGCTAAAATTAGCGTGAGTAGTTTTTTTAACCTTTGGCTAGCTATGGCAAACCACGACAAAGCTGCATTGAACTTCCCAGCGTTTATCAAGTATCAGAGCACCTGGCAATTCCCTGGTTTCAGGATGGAGGCTCGTAAGATCCGTTCGGCCGAGCTTAGAACCCAGGGCTCCAAGCTCGCTCTCCCTGCCAGGGCCGATTTTCGTGGAACCGTTAAAATCCACGGGGCCAATGCCACCTTTGTCTTTCGTAACCACGAGAACCTTGCCGACGTGACTATTCACTCACGCAACAGAGTCTTGGATTCGGGGGTTGGGACTGGTGATAAAAACGGTGTAGCCGAATTCCTTGCTGGCGTTCCCCTTGATAGACTAGCGCAGTCCTTTTTCGGAACCGGGAAGGCCAAGTTTAAGACTCTGATTATCGCCGGAGAATTTGCCGGCAAAGAGGTCGACAAGGGAGTTGGCATTTCCAGATTGGAAAGATTCTTTATGGTGTTCAATATATGTGTTGATGACCTCTGGCTCTACATGGGTCGTCTCTCCGGCGTCGCCCTTCCCGAGTATCGCATTTTCAACATCATAAACTACAAAACCTTCAAGGTAACCATCAATTTGAACGCCGGTACTACCGCCGTCGAACGCCAGATGATGGAATACACCAAGGAGGTCGCTAATGAATGTCCAGTCGCGAAAGCCCTAGGCGGGAGTGGCGCCGGTGAGGCTATCGTCTGGACCATGCTCGTTCCCATCCGCCATCACCGCTCTAGAGTGCTTGGGTTCAAGACTAAATCCGATATCTTTTCAGCCACTGCCTACGCCCCCCGTGCCCCCCCGGCCGCACCCATGACCCGAGAACCCAATAGCGTCATGGATGACTTTGTGAATTATGCCCTTGGCCAGCGTAGACTTGAGCAAGGTGTCGAGTACATGGTGGAAATGGGCATCCCGTTGAAGGTCGAAAACGTTAAGAGCTTCGCTAGATGGGTTACCGATGATACCCTCAAGGAGGAGGCCGAGCAAATGAAGATTATGAAAGCCCATCCCAGCTTGGTTTGTGTTAAGATTGGGGATCTAGCTAGATATTAGTTCTACAAGAACCTTGAGAAGATTATTGTAGAGAGTAAGCATGGCCAGATGTAGGGTTACAGAGATGTCGTTTGTTATTTCTGTTTGGTATTTGGGGGAATCCCCCTTGCATTTCTTTGCCCTTTTCCCGGATTTATTGCTCCAGCATTCCATAGGTGTAGCTTTATTAGGGAATAAAAACTACCTATGGGAGTAGCGAATTTCCCACCCCCGTGATTGGTATGACTATTTGCACTTACGATGTGACGGTGAAGTGATAGTGTTAGTCATTATCACCGTTTTCCGCCACTGTGGAGTCCCACCCAAACCCGAGCCACACAATGCCGCCGCAAATGGCAACCGCCAGGCCCCGCCGTGGTACTCGCCCTCTGCATTGCCCCAACTACTATTATAAGCACCTCACTCTAGCTTACCGATTAGCCGCAAGCCAATTGTCGGGTTCCGGTCTCGGGAAAACCTAGGGACCTATGTTCGTGCGAGGCTGCAGAAGTCAACTGCAATCCCATGAAAACACTTGAAACCCACTCCCTCCCCCAGAACCGTAATCTCCAGATTCTAGGTAGCAAAGCGGCGGAGAAGGATGAGTGTATTCATGACACGGGACGAGATCAGCGCGCTGGATGTTAACCGGTATCCACAATTTCGTTAACTCGTCAATAAAGCCCATCATGGGCGGGCCAGCAGTTGCCGACTGATAATCTGATCATAGATTTCAAGATTTTTAACGGTGTGGTATCGTACAACCAGGCCCCACGGTCGGGTGGCCTCTGAAAGCATTCCGCACAAGTATAGTGAGCGACCTCTGAGACTGGATCACCGAAAGAGGAACACCCGAGCCAAACTCAAAGCCTGAATGCCTGTTGGCAATAACTCACTAACAAAACAAATTCTACCGGGCGATAGGGAATCATGCACGCTTCAAACAAACGGAGAGACCATGCAGATATCTCTTCTTCCGTGAAGCGATGTGAGCACTGGTGAGCTTTGGGCTATTCGGAATGGGCCAGAGCAGCTCGGCAACCTCACCGTTTCCCGTGCTATCATATTCCCTATGACAGAAAAATGTGTTTTCCGCGATGCGTGCATGCTGTCGTGTGCGCAGCCTGGCCCGAGTCAGTCAGGGGGTGTTTGGCAGACCGTGTGTTCTACATACCTGTCGCACCGGTTATCCCCCCCAGAATTTCGCTTAATATAATATTTAACATGTTTTTGCACCTTGGATCATATCCTACCGGTAATTTAGCAACACCGCTTGTCAGGAAAAACCGTGTGCAGAGCTGGCGGCCATCCCAACACATGGTCTGCCAAACGGGCCTTGAAGCTTTCCATAGAGTCTTTGTTGTTAGCTGTTCCCTCGGGTGTTGGTGGGCGGGAAAGGCAAACGGGGCCGCTAAAATTTTCAGAAAATGAGATCGTGAGGGTAACTAACCGTGCCAAGGTTCCCACCACGTCGCATGACGCTACGCAACCTTCGACGTAGGTGGCACTCCCCTGGAGTGCCTAACAGTTCAATGATAGTAACAGTTCAACAATAGAATTGTGAGCCAACCTCTACCAGCTGCCAATTGCTGAACTTCACCTATTTTCCAGGTCGCAATGTCCAGTGAAAAATATATCAATAATGAAGTACGAATCCAACAGGCTATTCCTGAAGCTTGTGATGGAAATGCGCCCAATATTGCCTTGCTTGCCCAGCAGTTCAAAGTCTTCAAATGTGTACGGTACGGCACTATCTTAATAACTGTATACGAAAATACGATGCGATAGAAAGAGTATATCGCGGGCACGTTAAGCGAGGAGGATTTTTGTATGAAGGTAGATTGGTAGTAGTTCTTGTCCTTAATTCTCTTAAACGAGATGGGTGGTAACCCCTATTTATACAAGTGCACATCCTTCGCATAACTAAGAAGAAATGTAAGGGAAAACATAAGTGTCGACGTGTTTGACCATAACATAAGTAGGAAAAACATAAGTGCGAACGTGTTTGACCCTAAAGAACTGCCAAGGAAATCCCATAAAACATGCGTAAATCTAAGATTGTGTGAAGAGACAATTAAAACATAATTGTAAATCAAATGACCGATGACCGTGCATGATGATGCATAAAATGTAAAAAATAAATCCGAACACCAGATAAGAAAAGCATGCCATAATCCCCTACTCGTATCATGAAATATCAATAAAATATACGTAATAGATGCTCTGCTGTAGCAATGTCTGTGTACTAGAAATAATACTAAGTAGAGGAATATACGATATTATCAAAGGAAATATACATATGGAACGAATTAGAAAATTCAACACTTCCCCTCATGATCTACAGCCCAAAAGTCCCATTAACCGTTCGTGTGCCGGTTTCGCTAAGATTTTTGTGCAGATGTCAGCAAGGTTACCAGAGGAGGCAACCTGCAGGAGCATGAACAAGTCATTATCGATTTCTTCCTGTATTTTGTAGTAGTGTATATTGAGGTGTTTTGTTCAGTTGTTTAGCTGATGGTTTCTCGCAAGAAAGTTTGCGCTGATGTTATCTGCATGTAAAGTGATCGGTAAGTTGAGGCAGATATCTTTGAGACCCTTTCGGAACCATTGGATTTGTCTTGTGGCAAGTGACATTGCGACGTATTCCGCTTCAGTTGTTGATAGTGCGACCGAGACTTGTTTCTTTAAGCGCCATAAGATGCATGCACCATTGAGAAGTACAATGTATCCTGAAAAAGAACGGCGGGTATCGAGGCAAGCAGCGAAGTCTGCGTCAATGTAAGTATTGATAGCGTTTGTTGCATTGTAAGGGTAGAAGAGTCCAATGTGTTTTGTTCCGTTAACGTATCGAAGGACAAGTTTAGTGGCCTTGAGGTGTTGTTCGGTAGGGCAGGCAGAGAATTGTGAGAGGAAAGAAATGGTGTACGCTAGATCAGGTCTTGTACCAGTAGTCAAATACATAAGTGATCCAATCATCGATTGGTAAATGGAGGGGTCTAGTATGCATGTGTCTTCGGTCCCTTTCGTAAGTTGAATGCCTTTTGGTAAGGGTGTAGAAATGCTGTTAGAGTTTTCCATTGAGAATCATTTGAGAATTGACTTGATGTATTGCTCTTGGGTAAGATGTAGCCTGTCTGGTACGTATGCGATGTGCAAGCTGAGTAAAAATGTGGCTTCCCCTAGGTCAGTAATCTCGAATGCTGTTTTCAGGTCTTCTATCAGAGAAGTAGCTTCGGGGGTATTGGCTGCATGAATGGCGATGTCGTCAAGGTAAATCAAAACGTAGATGTTGTGTTTATCGTGAACGAACATGCATAGGTCAAGGGATGATGTCGTAAATCCTCTGGAGGTCAAGAATCTGGCAAAGAGAGCATACCATTCATTTGCAGATTGCTTAAGTCCATAGAGATATGGGTTAAGTTTCCATACTTTGCCTTCCTCACCGAACCCAGGTGATGGTCGCATGTAAACTCCTTCTTTCAATTCACCCTAGAGGAAAGTGGATTTAACATCGAATTGTCGGGGTTGCCATTTGTTTTTAGCGCATATTGCAAGAAGAAAGCGGAGAGATTCATAACCTATGGCGGGAGCAAAGGTTTCTTCGAAGTCCAAGCCAGGGATTTGTCCAAATCCTTTAGCAACAGCTCTTGCTCAATACCTTTCTAGGGTGCCATCAGCGTTTCTTTTGACTCTGTAAACCCACTTACTTTCGATTATTTTCCGTCCAATCGGTTTATCGACAACATCAAAGGTTCCACTCTTCTCGAGCGCCAGAATTTCATAGTCCATAGCTGAGGTCCACTGGTCATGGTAAGGGCTGTTCATAGCTTGGTGATAAGTAGTAGGATCCTCGTCCGGCATTTCGGTAGCATTTCTGCCATATCGAACCGGTGGTCGTGAGACTGCTCCAGACCGAGTTCTTATTCCTTCTTCACATTGCGGTGGTTCTGGAGTTGGAGAAGGAGTTGCAGGATTCTTGTAGTCTTCTGGATGTTCTGGTAGTGGAGGTGGATGTACTTCGAGGTCTGGCAGTGGTAGAGGTTGGTCGTCATCTGCTATTTCCTGAGGCTTGTCACGAGGGTATGAGGCGGTCAGGAAAGAGGGAAGCGTAACGGTCGCAAAGGTCTCCGATGTATGGGTCGGTTGTCTTGGATCCGGCATTCCTGTTGGATCAAGCGGTGTTGTTGTCTTGGTTGTCCAATGGATTTGTCTAGTTTCGGAGATCCGATGTTGCGATGGTATATATATCCAGTATATTTTATCGGAGGAGGTATAACTGACAAGATATCCTTCTAAGGCCCGGGGCTGTAGCTTCGTTCCAGGTTTTCCTTTCTCCTCTGGTATATGGACGTAGCATTTGGTCCCGTATAGACGCAAGTGGTTAATCAACGGCTATGTTTTGTAGATGGCTTCATAGGGCGTTGAGTTTCCTATGGCTCGGTTAGGGAGTCTATTCCTAAGGTAGACGGCAGTGGAGACTGCCTCGGCCCAAAGGTTAAGGGTAAGTCCAGTCAACATAGAGTATGTTGATGTTATAATGGTACGGTTGTACTGTTCAGCAACACCATTAGACTCGTGTGAGTAACGAGGGGTCTTATCATGCACAATTCCATGCTTCTGAAAAAGTATAAGCATCTTGTCATTGATGTATTCGTCTCTGTTGTCAGCACGAAACTTTTTAATGGTGGTAGAGTCCTGGATTGTTCTTCCCTTGATGAACTGTTTGAATACTTCTACCATATCGGACTTTGCTTTTATAGTGTAAATCTATGCATAACGTGTATTGTCATAGATGAAGGTAACATAATACCAGGAGTTGCCAAAAGAAGGTTTTGAGAATCGTCCGCTAAGGTCGGAATGAATTAACTCGAATGGGGTGTCACACCGTTTCTCTGTTGATTTGGGTTTTGACTTGGTTGATTTGGAGGTGATGCAGATTTCGCATTGCCAGTCTTTTGGAACGGTGGGGATAGCGGGAGTGTCGGAGTAGTGGTTGGCTTTGAGGTATTGTGGCGATGGATGTCCAAGGGCTTCATGCCACTCTTTGTAAGTCATCTTGTTTGCCCTCTCTTTTTCCTCTTGCACAACATAGTCCTGTCTGTCAAGCTTTCCCCATAGAACCTCTGTTTTATTTTTCCTAAAAACATACATATCCTTCCCAGAACTCCGCAAAGAAAAACCTTTTCCCAAAGAAACGATAGCGCGCTATGACAACAAGTTACAAGAACCCAACTTAGGAACCCAAAGAACCCGTTGTAGAAAGATAGAGTCTGTTCAGCCATCAGATGTTTTGGCCTTAAGCTCCACTATTCCACGGCCATATGATTCTATTACTGAATCATCGCCTAACTTAACGGTGCCTTGTGAAGGTTCAAAGTTTATAAGAAGGTCTAGGTTCGAAGTCATGTGTGAGCTTGCGCCTGTATCGATAACCCATTGATTTGGGTAAGGTGTCTTTCGCGTAGGAGGTGAGGAGGTAGAGGTGCTGACCGGTTTGGATGTCTCTTCCTTTCCGATCTTAGCCAAGTGTCCAGCTTTATCCTTCTTTCGCTTCTAGTTGTCGGCCTTGAGCTTGTTACACTCATTCCAGGAGTGGCCTTCACTATGAGCAGAGGGGTAGTGCTTTTTACAGTAGGAGCATTCCTTCGTTTCGGCCGGTTGCCAGTGGACCGTGTCGCGAGCCTTTCCCTTTCCTTTGACATTCGCGCTTTTATACGCCTTGTCATCCTCAAAATTAACCGAGGATTTCAAGTCCAACAGTTTGTTGTAGACATGGTTGTAGGTAAGGTCCTCCTTAGTTTGGAGGTTGTCAATCATGTTGCTCATCGACCGCAGCAAGGAACGGATGAGAATGGTGGCTTTGGCTTCGGTTGACTCAAATACTGATTTAAAAACAAACAGTAGAGCGTATTGGTTGGTTTCCGAAGCTGAGGAGCAACGATGTTGCATGCGATTCCATAGGGTATCGTACTTATTGATGTGGTCCGGCATAGGTTCGGACGTATCTTACTTGGAATTAAGGACCACATTGAGCTGGTCAAAGAAGGTGGATATGTTTTCACGAGCAAACTTATCTTCGAAGGCTGTCCAGATGGCGGGTGGTGTCTTGTGGGTGGCCAACAAGACAAGCCATTTTGGATCGAGCATTGCTAAAAAGTAGGCTGAGGCCCGCTGGTAGCAATTGCGGAAAGCATCTTGAGCACTGTCGGTGTTGTCTTCTTCCGTAGTTGTTCCTTCTTCTGGTAATGTTTCTTCTCCTGTTACTATGTTCCAATAATTAAATAAGGTTAGAATATATTCTGAGATGTCGCGCTAAGCTCTATAGTTTTCTGGGCCCGTGAGTTTTGGGATTGAGCTCAATTTGTAGGAGGGTGCCCAATGTCGCTTAGAGTTTAAGGCA